AAAAGATTCGGTCAAATCCGTCCGATCATCCGCAGAGGCGGACGGTCGGGTTTTGCTCAACAATTGAGCTGCAGCCGTTTGTAGTTTGGTAATGGAATCCTTACGGTCATTGAGCTGCTGCACCAGCGAGTTGTGGGCCTCCTCAAGTTGCTGCAAGAAAAGAGCATGTCTTTAAAGCATTTCGCACCTTCAAAACTGCTCACCGTCTGGAAGGCGAGAATACGGAGAAAGAACAGTTTTGAGTTTTTACTTTCCGCGAAAACATTACTTCAGACAAAGTAATCCAACCATTTGCACAGTTTGTCTTATCGAGTGGCCATGAATTCATATGAATTACAGCACATGCTTTGCAGAAACAACGCGCATTTTCATCTGAACCGATAGTAAAAAACGTGGTGGTCTCGGTAGGGTCCGAATCCAAGATACCACATGCAGGCATTAAGTACAATCAACGCTCTAATCACCTCGACAAAGAGTCGTGAATTTAATCATATTTAGGCCAAGTTACCCGCCAAAACTACTGCACCGTATGGGATCCGCCAGTGCCGATTCGTTCGAGGCATCGCAGATTAAGTGGTTAGGGCGTAAGCTAGGCTCAAGTATTCCTATTACTGTCGTTAACTCGAATCCTCCCGCGGTCGTTCAGTTCTTCAAAGATTGATCAGATTAATTATGCAAAACCACCAAAAAACACCCACTGATTAAGTGGGTCCTGATAATCATCTGGTGGATTCTAGACTGACCGCTTAGGAAATCCTGGCCCGACTTACTGCAAAAGAATTGTCGGGTCCCATACGCTGCAATAGGTTGAGCGGATAAACTGACCCAGCTATGATTAAACTCACGGCCCTGTTGGGGGCCTCATAGACCAGATAATTAAAACGTTGGCTGTGGTCAGGTCTTGAGCCCAGGTACGCTGAAGTTAGCTGCGCCCAGGACAGGAAGAGACGGTAAAAAGTTCATTTCAAAGGTCGCCAATTGCTTGTGTGTCGGACGCGCCATTTGAGACTTTTTGTCATAAGTTCGAAGGGAAAATCCTCAGTGAACAAAGGTCTGCCTTTCTCTCCAACCATGTCTCAGCAATCGCATAATTTTGTACTTTTCTTCAAAGCGCTGTGCATTGCTTTAGGCGTGACGGACGCAAGGAATACGTACTTTAACAGATTCGACATCGCCACCACAGCCTCCCTCCTCCTCTTCCTTAAAGTGGGCTTCCAGCTTCGTCATCCATTCACAAAGAGATCCTAGAGCGTCCTTATACTGACCCGAACGTAGGAGAAGTTCTTCGAGGGTCTTTTGCCTGAAAATAAAAAAAAACAATTCAGAGCCTGTTTCTCAGCGAGTTTCGCTACGTAAACATAGGCCAAAATGTAAAAAAAACAAACATGCACAGATATAATGCGTGTTTTTCGTCAAATCGTAGCTAACTTTTGGAGGGACTTGGCACAGACGGCATTCCAGAGATGCTTTAGTTCAGATTGCATCTCCTCCAACTCCGCATGGTCATCTGCCGGCGATCTGTCATATGTCTTCTGTAGCTGGCGTCGCGTGCTGTCGAACGCAGCACTGCGGATTCCAAGTTCTCGCTGGAATTCGCGATGCCGTGTCAACTCGCGGAGCAAACGTTCGGTGTTTGTGCTGGGCACCCAGTTCTCGTCATCCAGAATGTTCAGTTGTTCGTTCAGCCAACCAGTGAGCTCCTGCCAATTTTTCAACAATTTCTGGGCCTCCTGTACAGCAAAAATAAAAACTTTTCGTCAAAAATGCGGGTACTGGACTCTTCACAAGATGTGGTGTATATTTTGAAACCTCAAAGCTGTGTGCCATCCTTCGGAAGGGTAGAAAAATACTTATACTGCCGCCTTCAGCTTCAAACAGGTCAATGGTTGGACTGAACTCCCTCAAGTCAATGATTTGTGCCCCTATTTCGGATACAAAATTGTTAGGCAATCAAACAGTACACTGGCATTATCAGGCATAATAGTGGATCGGTTAAAAGTTTTCGAAAGGTTGGGGGTGGAAATCCGTTCAGCCCGCCTGCGGCTTGCTCATTTTGCTAACTTTGCATTTTTACTGTAATTCCCAACTAAGTCAAACTGGAATATTATTCGTTTGTATTCTTTTAATCAACTTACGAGTTAAGTTCGCCAACTAGCAATTTGTGTTCGACGGTTAACCACGTTCGCAGTCACCCTGGTCCATACGCAGGCATTTCTCGGTCGTCATATCCTTCCTATTGTGCTATTTATCCGAAAACAAAGCCCTATGATCAAACGCATTTTGTGTGTCCTGTAAACTGGCACCAGTTTTTGTTATTCCATCTTTGTCAACATCATCAAGAGACGCACTTTGTCCCTCGCAAAGCAGGTGACCGGCAAATTTATCAGTCCGAGAGGGGAGTCTCATTTTGATAGAATGATGACGGGTCGTCTTAGCCAACCTAGGACTAACTTCGCAACCTGCTCCGAAGAGCATCAGGGCACTGCAAATCTTTGTTCTCGCCATTCGATCGTTCTCTACGAGCGAAAAGCAGAAAATTAAAAAACTAAGGTATGCTGCGCATAGACAAAAAGGGGAGGTGAAGAGCACGCTGATATAGCGACAGCCGCGAAGGGGGCACAAGCCACGCAAGTCCACTAATGGTCGAAATCAGACAGGCCAGAACCAGCCAACATACGTGCGTTCAGCACGATTATAACACGAGGCAGGCGGCAAGGCTAAACAAATCAAGGTCAGCAGGAAAAGCCAGCGGGTGACTTTGACGATGTTAACGAGAAAGTTTCCAAAACATCAGTATAAATACAAACTGGTCCATGAAATCGCCTTCTCTTCTTCGTTTTCTTCGGGGGATGATAAACACGATAATAAATAACAATCCCAGGCGTTTATCTCATTTGACTATTATGGAAAACATTATTCGCTTACGACTCTAACAACATTTGATTACGGTAGGGTCTAGGAAGTATGGGATTCACATTATTCGCCTACGACGAACAACATTTGATTACGGTAGGGTATAGGAAATATGGAATGCACAAAGACCAGCCTTATAGCGCAGGCGGTAAGAGCGTTGGCTGTGCTCAAGCTTTGCCCTTGTTGTCTTGGGTTTGAATCCCAAGGAGGCCGCCAAAGATTTCATAATTGGGTCGAATGAAAAGGAAATTATTGTTCCATCGATCCAGTCTACCCCTAAGAATGACGGCAGGGCTATCGGCGGTAATAGCCATCGTAATCGTTGATTTTCAAGTACTCGCAGTAGCAGCAATAATCACCGTCTTTATATTAGTAGAATTTCCAGTCGTATTGGTGACCATTGTGATAATAGTAGTAAATATGGTCACAGTGATAGTATTCAAATGCGTATCGGTTATCTTAATGATAGTAGTACTAGTGACAGTAGTTAGAATAGTAACAGTAATAGCAGTTATTGCTATTGGAACCGTTTCATAATGTTAGTAGTAGTTGTTTTTGCAAGCAGACTTAAAGTGCCGGCTGATTTCGCCCAGTGTGCATCCCCTCTGCGTGTCTTGGCAAGCGGATGTTTGCGCTCCTGTTCGGGTGACTTGTGTACAAGCGTAATCCGTCTTCCTGTGTGGCCGCAATGTTGCTGAAAACAACCTTTCCGGAGTACGCTCGAGACAACCTTATAGGTAACATTTCTCGCGTCCAGTGTACTATTGGTAGGAAGTATAGAAGATCAGATAAAGGGAAATAAAGTTGACACAAAAATTTCTGAAAGGCCTAGGAAAGGGCCTCTCTCGGTGGCGAAGCCAAAAGTTAGGATGGACTGGTTACGGTGGAGAGCACTATAAGCACAGACAGGTTTGCTTTCGAGAGAATTTTAACCCATATGTTTTCCGTCTTTGCGAATTCCGACCAGCAGAAATCAAGGTCCCTTGTCTTTGACTTACTTTATAAGCAGAGGCGAGAGCCCGGCTGCGTTCAGTACTGCGCATAAGCAGTTTTTCCCAGCGCGCGTGGGTGCTGGAGAGGAGATTCTTGACCAATGCCACATCCAGTTCCTGGGCGTGAGTCTGAATGTATACGGCGGAACGATCGAGGCTGAGGAGGGTGTCACGTTGACCGGTCAATTCGCGTCGCACTGTTGAGTGCTCGGGGATCTGCTCTTCCAAACGACACAGAAGAAGGCTGACAGGGGGAAACTGGGCAACGCGACGCTCCATCTGCGTCAACCACTGAATAAACTGGCCCAAAGCGCTGTGAAAGTTGTCCACGTGTACTAAACCGGCCTCCAGGGTGGAACGCCACTCCTTGGCTTGTGTATGTAATTCGACCTGTCGGTTGCCCAAGCGATCCAACTGGGTGGAGAGGCGTTTCCGCGTACCGGATGGCTCTGCCGAGGCTAGAAGACCAGCAGAGGAGCAGCGGAGATCGTCCACCTAAAAAGAGGCCAAAGATCAGCGGCTATAACAGGGCGGTCTTATAAGAACGCGGGCGCAGTGGCCACTTTCTAAAAACTGCAAGTTTATTCTGAGTCTCTCAAGTCGGTGCATACGCATATTTTTGTCGATCTCGGAGGTTGAGGTGGAAGTGAAACCAATATCTAATGTGAAAATTACATTGATACGACTTTTCCTGTCCGCATTTGAATACATCTTAGAAAATCAAGAGCATAGAGGAGTGTAGGCTTTCCACAGACTTCTCTGATAGACATCTGTCTCACAACTGAAAGGCCAACTGCTGGAAGGCTAAAATGTTGAGAATGGTCCTCAGATCCATTCAGCTGCCGGCGGCAGAAAAAGATGCGAAAAATTTGAGTCTGAGCAAGACCGCCTGTTTTTTAAATAAAACTTCGACAATTTCGCATACTCCGAAAATTCCCATGTTACGATTGCAAAGTCAATTTACCGAAATATGTTTTCGGCATTTCATCGTCAGAACACTACAATGTATGAGCCATGTACAGGGTTTATATGTGTCTCGTGGGAAGCCTTAGGTACGCCGCTTCAAAATTGCTTGTATTCAGGAAGTTTAAAAGACGCTTTTGAGTTTGCCGAGTCTGTCAAGAATATTAACGTTGGCTGACGGACGACACCGTTATTGGATGTATCATCACTGTTCAACATATTACCCGCAATAAACACAAAAAACCTATGCGACTTTCTTCCGGAAACAAATTACCAGGTAGGTATGACAGTGGAAATCATAAAATGACTTCTTACGCAATGCACACGAATGTCCAGTTTCTCTGCAACAGGCAGTTATACAGGCGAGTAGACGGTGTGGCGACGAGTTCACCGCTTGGACCGTTTCTCACAAATGTCTTCAGCAAGATCAAGCAAACCAGTCTCAAGGATACAATTAAGGAACTTGATTTCTACGGTCGGTACATGGGCGATATCTTCCGCCTGGCAAGTTATACCACCGCCATTGAAGGCCTTGTTAGAAGTTTAACAAGACGCACCCTTTGCTGGAGTTTGCTGCAGAGACTGAGGCGAATAACGAAATCGTGTTCCTCGATGTCCAGACAAGAGGATGGGTCTATCCAACGCAAGGTATTCCGGAAGACGACCTAGACGGGACAATACACTAATCTTCAGTTTTGTTCCCCTAACTCTAAAGCATCTAGTCCAGGGATTGGTGGCTGGAGTGAGACGCATCTGCTCTAGAGGCATGCAAACGGGTGCTAGTAGCAGCCGAGGCAGTGGTTATTCGCTCAGCGAATCCAGTGCCCAGTTGTCAGAAGACGTTGATACAGGCGGTATGTCTTCGCTGGCTGAGTCCAGGTGGTGATCGAACGCCGCCCCAACCCCCCTGAGAGAAGTCACGGACTCCGCGTGTTTGGCAAACAGGTAGCGCTCAAAGCCTAATCCGAACCTTACACGTTACCCCCACCCCCACCCCTCCGTCAGCTCCGGCGTCCTCAACATGCTGACTCCGTCATGCAGGCGGCGTGAGAATGAAGAGCGTGATTAACCCTGAACCCGAGACATATAAACCCTGTCCACAGCTCACAGGTTCGGTCTCCATTTAGCTGGTGCGCTGGAGGTGAATTACTGGGGGCATGTTTGCCACTTGACTTTTTAATTTCGCGTACACAAGTTCAGTTTTAGGATGAGTATATGCAAATTTCAGCACAAAAAACAATTCACTACAAAGTAGTTTTATATACTATCGAATACTAAAAATGGTAAGTATATGGCTGTCTAACGTTTGGACTGGGAATAGGGCGCAATGTAAATGTCACGCTATGTACAGGTAGGAATGGTTATCACCAACGGCCAATTCGGTGACGGCAACCCAAATTATAGCACTCGTTAACCGAGTTGCTCTCAAAATCGACAAAGCTCAGCAATTTTTCGCCTAGGTTACAACCGATGGGTTTTTATCGAGATGGGATCTCGACGTTGTTATCAATTTATCTTAGAAGTACGGAGTTCGGGCGCGCATGAAAAGGCCGAAAAGCGTGGTGGACAGTTCCGCTGCTGATTGTGATAATTCTCTCAAGTTTGCTGTTTATACCACGGGTACGGTGAAAAACAGTGATAATACATGATCGTTGGGACAAGAGCCTTATTAGCCTGACGTTTCGGATTCCTGCTCGAACCCATCATCAGAGATGAAACCAGATACGAATGGTTCATGCACAAGGGGCTGCAGTATTTATAGGACGCAGTCGCCATGCTACCGCATACCTATGAATATTCACGGCTCACCCCGACATTAGGGATAGTTGCACTTGGTGTGCTGACTATTTGATGGCCGACATTCGCGTCGTTAATTTCTGCAATTCCAGCACGTGCGTTGGATGTTGATGTGATGATTGCTCGACCATCTGATCCACCGACCCTGGCGTTGGGAAAAGTGTTCACCTGTGCACTTCCCGCGTCACTAATTACTCCACCTAGGCGAAGTCTCAACACTGAGTATGGAAGGGGAAGGTCACTGCACTTTTTTATGGACTGGGGGCCAGAAAACCATGACTCAAGCAGCTCCCGGCTCACGCGATTGACACCTCTTGCGAGAATTTCGGTCCTGATCCGATGAACGACTCCAGACGTTTCTTGCCGTGGCAGCGAGTCTTTCGGTTTCATTACCTGACGCCTGACGGTTGCCTCCGGCCTGTGTGCAAATCCAAACCAAAGTGGTGCAAGAAGGCGACCGACAGCTTCCGAAACGTTCTTGACATACGGAAGCATTCGACAAAATTTGGTGTCCGTTCTGGCTTAAACCAGAAATGGCCATTTCGGTCTCCCTTGTCTTTGTCGGCACAATCTCATCTACTACTAGTAGCTGTGCGACTGCCTGCGACGGTTCAGGTATGAGCCCCAAGGCCCAACAGAACGAGCATGTTCCGTAACCTGATCGGTGAGCGCCCACTGTCATAATTGATATTCCGATCACAACCGACAGGACAACGGGCCCGTGTCTCAACGGTAAAGTGTCAAACGCTATGACCAAAGATCCCGGGTTCGAATCTCAAGTGATCCACACTTGGGGTTGGGTATGACTGGCTGATGGCCGCCAATAAGCCGTAATGGCCATTCCGATCTCCCTTGTCTTTGTCTTCACTGATCTAATAATTGAGAAATAGGCCCGCTGTCCTGTCGGTTGCGCTCGAGAATAATTAACAGCGTGGGGCAGAGGCTCACTGATCAGGTTACAGGACAAACTCTTTCCGTTGCGCCCAAGTAGACTCTAGATTGAGTTCTAAGGTGCAACGGAAACAGCATGTCCTGTAACCGGATCGGCGAAAATTCGCCCTGTGATATAAAACACCCGGCAGCGAAAAGTTACTAGTAGGCTGCCTGGCTGCTTACCTGATTTCCGAGGTTTTCAATAGCATTGTAGGCTTTCATAAATTGGCCGAGCTTTTGTTTCGCACTGTCCGGAAGACCACCCATAATGCGAGTGCCAGAAGCTGGAATATGACCCTCAAGGACGTGACAGTCGCGTCTGAGTTCGTCCAATTGACTGTAAAACTTCTGGGCCTGTTAAAACACGTAAATGGGGAGTATGCAAAACTTAAAATCGTCATCCACACCCGCTATCTATGGCCTACTGCAAAGCGGTCTACACAGGTTTTCTGGACAATGTGGGTACACCATACACATAAAACAGCGTAGTTATGGCTACCAAAAATTTACATGAACGAATGGAGACCTACCTCTCTAATGGCATCTTCGAGTTGAAGCTGTTTTCCCCTAACGGACCTCTTCAGTCCTTCCCAGCACGAATTTAGTTGTCTAAGCCGCGGAAGCCGGCTCTCATTGGTCTGTTCAAGGCTTAGATCGGTGTCTGTGCCGAGAGAGATGGGTCCATCAAAGCCAAGACGTTTGGCTTCCTGGTTCAGCTTGGCAACATCTATCTGTCGTTTGGCAACACTCGTTTGGACCATCTATATGCGTAATTGAAGGCCGATTAAGTACTAGTCAGAATGCTTAAAACGAACAAACCCGAAAAAGATTTCCCTTCCGTAACCAAGCCAACACCGTTAAACATAGATAAAGTGGAGCAAACTATTATAAAGACACTTCATCGTTAATGGCTCGAAAAACGAAGTGGATGGCCAGTGGAGTTTAGTGACTTTTGAAGGAAAACATAAGACTGAGTCATGAAGGGTTTCTTAGAATTTGGTGTTTTTGAATGAAACATGAGAATAATTTGAAAGAGTTATGTGAACATGTGAGGAAAATCAGTTTGCATGTGACATTATTTGGAGCCAAATAGCTCGGTGAGACGCATGTTTTAGGATGTAACTCAGTTTATTCAACATAGTTCCAACGTACCCTAGGTCCCTTGTAAGCGGCGCCCGCTAGTCGACAAAAGTGCCTATTTATGACTAACATGTTATAGTGGTAGGCAACCAGCTCTTTTGCGATTAACTGAAAGCCCGACCGGAAAAGGTACCACAAAACATCAAGTCAGAACAGAAACCCCGGAACAGGCATGCAAAGGCGACGGAAGTGTGTGGAAGACAAAGAAAAAAAGACATTAGGCATAGTCTGGCGTCAAAGAAGCTTGAAAATAGTAAAACACACATTTTCTGGTATATCATGCATTGTACGTTGGATTTCTCGCATAATTTATTATATTATTTTTAAATGATTTGGTGACGTCAGTGATGGCTTTAAAAAAATCAATTTTACACATGACGGAGACGATGAAGGTGATGGCACCTATAACTTCCGACAAAGGAGTCATAGTGATATTACTGAAGTTATTTCAGTAGCCGTTTTGTGGTAGTTGAATTGGTTGATATGTTTGACAGTACGACCGTCGATTCCGACGATGTCAACCGTATGTCCCATAGCAGGGTGGACGCAGAGGTTGTGATTTGCGCTGCATCCACCACACTCTCATGCCCACCCAACTGCGTTCGGTGTCAAGAAAGAATCAAGAAGACGGAGTGTGAGATCG